GAAAGAAAATCCCACAACTACTGAATGAGTACCTAAGCAGTGCTTGCCAAGTGTCCACGTGTAACGTGGAAGTAACTGTTCTACCCGACTGCAAAATGATGTGAGAATTAAATGTTAAAATGTAACCCCAGGGCCACATTTAGGACTTCCTGTATAAAAATCCTGGGTGAGAAACTCAGAAACTAGCATTTTAAGCAAGTATCTAGGTAAGTCTCCTGTATACCAAAGACACATCCAGCAACAAGTGAATCTAAAAATCAAGTGAATAAATAATCTGATGAACAGAATAAACTGGTGAATATAATAGAATCGGGGGCATAGAAAGGGAGTGGACTGACTATTCTTGAGGGGGAATGGGGTGTGCAGGTGCAGGAAGAGACTGGACAAAAATCATAGACCTATGGATGAGGACAGTGGGAGGGGGTGGTAAGGGCAGAGGGTGGGTGGCAACCAGGTGGAGGGGAGCTATGGGGGAAAAAAGGAGGAATAACTGTAATAATCTGAACAATAAAGTTTTAATTAAAAAAAGAATGAAAGTAGAGTGCTTGGATGTGAGGGGAGTGTCGGTATTTGTGAGTGAGGGACAGGTATACTCCAAGGTATTCTTGGGGACTCGCGGACCAGCCCCCCATTATCGGGCAGTCTTTACTGCAGCTGTAATTTTCCCAGTGTGGCCAGCTCTTCTGCAGAGGCCATGACATCTTGAAGGGGAGACAGCTGTGATCAGAGGTTGAGTGTGATCACAACTACAGCCTTACTTTCAACCAGGGAGATCTCAGCTGCTCCTGGGACCTTACAACCATGATGCCCAGGGACCAGTTACCTCAGCTGCGAATCCATGAATGCCAGAACTCCAACCTCCCTGACCAGAGGGGCCTGGGAGTTCTGCTCCAGGGGAGACAAATATGCGAAATCGCAGACAGGCCCTGTGCCTTTTCACAGAGCAGAAGGAACAGCTGAATCAAAGAGCACCCACCCAAAACAGGAGAATTAAACACAGCTGAAATTTCCTAAAGGAAGGAGAGAGAGAGACACATAACGAGCAACACTGAGAGGCTCGATTATGGGGAGACAAAGAAACAGCCAACATATGAAAGAAAAGGAGGCATCACCAGAAAAGGGAGTAAATGAAACAGAGGAATGCATTGTGACACAGAAAGAATTTAGAGCAATAGTCATAATGTCACTGAAAAGGATGGAAGACAATTGCAACAGTATTTGTAAGAACCAAGAGGAAATGAAGAAGAACCAAGAAGAAATGAAAAATGACATTGATTCAATAAAGAACTCAATAGAAAGCATCAACAGTAGACTAGAGGAAGCAGAGGACTGCAGCAGTGAGCTAGAAGACAAGGTAGGAAAAAAAACCCAAGCAGAGCAACATCTAGAAAAAAAGAAACTTTAAAAAAAAAAAAAAGAGGAGAGCCTAAGGGAACTTTGGGACAACACAAAACGAAACAACATCTGCATAATAGGGGTAACCAGAAGGAGAGGAAACCGAGCAAGTAATAGAAAACCTGTTTGAAGAAATAATGACAGAAAACTTCCCTGATATTGGGAAGAAAAAACTCACACGAGTCCAAAAGCTCAGAGTCCCTAACAAGATGAACCCCCCCCAAAAAACCAACACCAAGACACATCAAAATTAAATTGGCAAACACCAACTACAAAGCAAGAATCCTAAAGGTTGCCAGAGAGAGATAGAAAGTTACCTACAAGGGAATTCCCATCAGGCTATTGACTGATTTCCCAACAGAAACACATCAGGCCATAAGGGAATGGAATGAGATATACAAAGTCATGCAAAACAAGGGTCTGAATCCAAGAATACTGTACCCAGCAAGGCTATCAATAAAAATTGAGGGTGAAATCAGGAGCTTCACAGACAAAAAAGGACTAAGGGAGTTTATCACCAGCAAATCAGCAATGCAAGAAATACTAAAGGGTCTGTTGTAAAAAGAAGAAATAGGAAGGGAAGAAGGAACACAGGCATAAAGAATAAAAAAGGCAACAAACAAGTACGTATCTATTATAAGCTTAAATGCCCCAATCAAAAGACATAGTGTGGCTGAATAGATAAAAAAAAAACATGTCCCATGTATCTGCTGTCTATAGGAGACCTACCTCAGAACAAAAGACTCACACAGACTGATGGTGAATGGATGGAAAAAGGTTTTTCAGGTGAACAGAAATGAAAAAAGCTGGGGTAGCAATACTTATATCCAACAAATTAGACCTGAAAGTGAAGGCCATAACAAGAGATAAGGAAGGCTACTTCATAACACTAAAGGGAGCAATTCAACAAGAAGATATAACTCTGCTAAACATATATGCACCCAATACAGGAGCACCCAAATAAATAAAAAAACTTCTGGAGGATATCAAGGGAGACATTGACTGCAATACAGTCATAGTAGGGGATTTTTATACCCCACTAACACCACTGGACAAATCCTTTAAACAAAAAAATCATCAAAGAAATAGCAATCCTATATGAATCAGTAGATCAGATGGAATTAATTGACATCTTAACAACATTCCACCCCAAAGCCACAGAATATACATTCTTCTCAGGTGCACATAGGACATTTTCAAAGATAGACCACATATTGGGTCACAGGCAAAATCTCTTCAAATTCAAGAAGATAGAAATCATATCAAGTGTCTTCTCAGATCACAGTGGCATAAAACTAGAAATCAACTACAATAAAAATAATTTAAAAAATCAAACATCTGGAGGCTAAAAGCATGCTTTTAAACAATGATTGGGTTACAAAAGAGATCAAAGATGAAATAAAAATCATCATGGAAACAAATGACAATGAAAACACAACAATCCAAAATCTATGGGACACAGCAAAAGCAGTCTTGAGAGGGAAGTTCATAGCCAATCTCAAAAAGCAAGAAAAGATGGTAATAAATTATCTAACCTTACAACTCAAAAAGTTTGAAAGAGAGCAACAAGCAAAACCCCGCATAAGTAGAAGGAAGAAAATAATAAAGATCAGAGTGGAGATAAAGAACATAGAGACAAAAAAAACAATACAAAATATCAATGAAAACAAGAGCTGGTTCTTTGAAAGGATAAACAAGATTTATGAACCTCTAGCCAAGAATCAAAGAGAGAGCACTCAAATAAATAAAATAAAAAATGAGTGAGGCAGAGTAACAACTGATCTCACAGAAATACAACAGATTATGAAAAAAACTAGTGGCCTGGTGCATGACATTCATGCACATTAAAAGGGAATTAATTAGAGGAAATATTTTAATATTGCTATTTGCCCTTTCTCTATAATAGAAGTGTCAGAGATGAAAGAAGATTAGTAAAATGTATATAAAAATTTCCCTCCAGTCAGAGTCTGGGGTGCGCCACGGAACCCAAAGTAAGTCCCTGCCCACCATTACATGCCTGGAAATTTCGCAAGACCCAGATCCACTGGCCCCACCCTTGTCAAGCACCA